AGCATGTTTCTAATTGAGTTAGAAGCCCACCACTCAACGTTCAGTCACAAGGCTGCAGAAAAGCAAGGGATCGCTACCATATACAATGCATTCGCTAATTAAAGTTAATTTCCCAGTGTCTTTGAAAAGAAGAGGCCATGTTAACTCCTGTGCTCTGCACTGGGGGAAGAGGGGAACCCCACTCCACACATAAAGCTCATCCAGCACCTCATGCTCCAAACAGGCTCTAAGATTTCTCATAGTGAGCTGGCAGGGAAGAAACCGTTTTGGGGATGAATCTTTCAGCATCCTCAAAACCAGCCATTGTAGCACTTCTGCCTACTCATTTGTGCCAACTTAGTCTTCTTAAAAGATCCACCTGTGATCTCTCCAGTCAGCATCCAAGACAGACAACAGCAGCACCTGCCAAAAAAAGCAGCAGGGACTTCACAAGGAACTATGCTCTAAAATACATTGATTATACTGATGTAGTATTTTTGCTACCAAGCCTTCATTTTTATTTTTTTTTAATTAATGGCAGGAAGAGAGCTCAGTCAGGTGGTATTCAAGCACATCCACAGACCCCTGAAGGGACGCCGGGGTGGGTGTTGGGATGATCTTTCACAGCCTCCTTCTTGTCTCCTGCCCTTGGTCGAGCTTCGGTCACCTCTGTCACAGGCCAGGCATCGGACAAACGAGAAGCACGAAGAAATCTCTTTTGTAATAAAATTTATTTTTGCTCTGTGGATACAAATCCCAAACATCAACAAACAAATTCCAGTGGAAAAATACCAGTCATTAACAATGAAAACTTTTATTATTATTTAATAAATAGAACTTTGGCATTCAAAATTCTAGCTGTAAACCCTACTTAAAAAAAAAATACAAAAAGAGGCAAGAACAACAAGCCTAAAGCTGAGCCAGCCAGTGGCTCCTTTACTTTTTACAATGAACACGTTGTGATTAAGTCATGACAACTCTATTTACATATGAGGTATTCTGAGAGGTTCCAAAATTGAACCCAATTTACAAAACCACCAGTCTTCAGGGACTGATCCAGTACATATGTCAGCTGTGCTTTTAAAAGATAGCTCCAGACACTCCTCCTCACTGAACTAATGATATACGGTAATTAATAGACACAAAATAAACACATTGTGATTTGAGTTTCCTGCTCACACTTTGTATTCGAAAGAGCTGCATACTACGACCAGCCCAACATTCAAAGAGTGCACCTAGTACCTAGTTTCAGTACTTCTGTTCCTAGACATTATGCGAGTTCTTGCTAGAAAAGCTTATAAACAAAGTATCGGCAGGTAAAAGGAAAACAAGGTGCAGTCATCAGCATCCTAACAACCTATCTCAAGTTCAAGGGGAATATACACTTACTTCAGGCAAAAAAAGGCACAAAGGTATGCAGCTGTGGAATTAATATTGCTAATGAGCTACCGGAATAAATCGTCCCTTTAAGTAATCGCCATCGATTTGTTTGCAGTCTAAGAATGCAGATTAGTTCAGGTCTTTTCCCCACTCATGACAGACCTCGTCACACCAACGAGAAGTGTCCAATTACACCTCCTTTGTATTACACCACCTGTGTAGCATCATTGAGAAAGACAAGGAAAACCAAAGCAAACTGTGCCCATGCAGAGTGACTGCAGTGTCCATCGCTGCCTGGGGCCAGGACAGCGGGTCCTGCAGGAAGGGCTTTGCTTCTTTCTCTCCTTGTGCCCTTACCCTGCCAGAAAAACGTCCAAAAAAACGTTTAAAACAAAAGGTGGGCAGTGAGGGCAAAGGAAGGAAGAAAGGAAACCTTCTGAAGTGAAAAGGACGAAATCTCAGCTCTTGTAAGGACATCAGGGCCAGAGGCAGCTCCAAACGCTGGAGCCCAAGTGGGTGTTACAGCAATCTCCACAATTTCACACTACTATCACACTACAAAGCTGCGCAGCAGAAGCCAGCAACCTAAATCATGTTTACACAACTGAGCTGCGATACTTCTATATAGTAAATACATAGCATCATCTACAGCTTGTCCAAAGACAGTTACTTTCCAAGTCTTTGTCAAAATACATTCTTGAATACAGTAGTTACTGTAAATATCTTCTAAAGGATTGTATAAATTCAATCTGAAACAATACAAGAAAGTACTGTACAAATTTGCTGACAGCCAGAACGGTACACTATCCATTCTTTAGCGGTTGATTTTCAGCCCTTGAGATTGTCTAACAGCTACAGCAAAAAGTTGTCATGACTAAATCTAAGGAATTCCAAAGTTAACATTCATTAATCAACTCTGTATTAAATATGCTGAATGAGACCACACACACACTACATTTTTACCAATTAAACAATCATGCATATCTTAGACAAAGCTTATTCCACTTAGAGGCATCCGTAAACTGATGCATATATAGTAACTGCTACTACTACAACAGGCCAAATTTTCAGAAGTCAAAGCAAAATACTGTATCACCGTAGACAGTCAATTGGTAGTCTGCATCTTTGGCTCATACAACCATCATTTACCTCCCTACTTTAATTTGCCTGAGGCAGATAAACTCAGGGTTGTTTTTTTTTTGAAATCAAGTGCTTTAAAATCAACATAAATATTACAGGTTCCATAATAAAAATATTACAATGCAAGATTACAGCACTGCAATCAAAGTATTACAAATAAAATGGGACCGCCTTCCTGAGGGATTTTCAATTAATACTTGAAGAGCATAAAAGCTCCTGAAGTGCTTTGCAAATAGAAATTACTGATCTCAAATCTGCAGTACAGTATCACCATTTAACAGGAGGGACAATGGAGGCACACAAGCCAAGTGATCAGCTTCATAGCTCAAAGTGACTCAAAAAATCTCCTGCTCCGCTCTAACTGCTTTATTAAACTCCTTATAATTTCCACCAGATTTAGAAAAATGTGTTGCTTGGTAATTTTTTATAGGTATAATGTTTTCATCTAAGGAAATAAGAACGTGCAGTTTAGGTGTTTACTCTCTCCCTGTGTTCTGGTTTGTTATCTGAAACGCTATTGTTGAATTCTGACATGAGACAGATGCCACAAACTGGAGACCATCACCTCACTGCAGGACCAAAACCAACCACTACCACCCAGGGAATGAGCTCAGGCCCAAGTCCCAAAAGCCAGCACTGACAAAGGCACAGGAAACTCTGCAAGCCCAGTTGTGCAAAGATCAGTTTTGCACCAGTATAAAAGCACACCTTCAAACCTACAGAAAGACCACAGAAATTTAAAATAAAATGGCCTCATTTTTTACCTTGAAGTAGGGAATTTCACTTGAGATTTCATCTAGACACCGTTTTAGTGCTCACAGGAGCTGAACCAGTCAGATTAATCTATCTGAAAACATCATGTAGCAATAATATAAATAGTAACACTACTTTTCACAAATTAGTCCATGTGTAGGTTCAGGATAGAGGAAACTGTCAAATAAATAAGTCCATATAGCTATGGAAAAAACATTTAAAAAATTAAAACACTGAATTATAAAAACAACATTAACTGTTTAAACTATGAACAGAAAGCAAAACATCAAGTTAAAATGAGTAACCAGTCTTCACTGCTATACTGGTTTTTTTCTATTAATGTAAATATAATCAGAAAACTGAAGATACTAACACTTTTGCCATAAAACCATTACCCTAGAATTTACCAGGTCCTAACCGCTATGCTTTCCAAGAGATTTCTGCTGTTATCCACACTACGGGCCAGTTGACTGACTTGCACCTTGGTCATTTGAAACTGTCTTTTAATACCACATATGTAACTGATGCTCATTTATTTTCTCAACAGTGTCATTTGAGAGTGGTTTTGCTCTTTGCAGGTTTTTGTTTCCTTCAGTTAAATACTGTGCTACACCAGGCATAACCGTGCAGCTGATTTGCAGTAACGTTCCAGGAAATCAGAAGCGTTAATGTCACCTGTCCCACGGGAGTGAAACAGCACTGCCAAACTGACACTCGCTGCATAAACCATGGAACGTGATCTTATTTTTTTAATGTAACTGCTTCCTACATAAACAGAGAAATCAAGAATTCCCAAACAATGTGGGAAATTTTGCAGTGCTCAGATAACCGAGTACTTAATACTGCTCAGTGGAAACATTCTGTTCTGGCCCTGATTTTGCCAAGTGTCAAACATGCGTTTTGCAGCTGTGGTAGAAAATGGTTGAGGTTGTTCACAACCTCATCAGAGGCCTTCAGAGGTGGAACACAGACCAGCCACATTTCAAAATGGAGATGATCTACGGGAAAAATAATGGTACAAGCACTAAAACACAGTCTATTTTTTTTTTCCTGACAGCCATGTACTATGCTGCAGTTTCATGCCTTCCAGCTTCCCTGGGTTTGTCACAAACTTCGTATTATTGAAACTTCTTACAGTAATGCAAGAGTGCTGAAAACAATTTCACAGCTCTGTATTTTATGGGCTTCATCTGCATAAAGGAGTTAAAACTTAGTTTTCTTTTTTTAGATATCCAATACTAAACCCAACATTTTACCTGTATCAAATTTTTTAGGCAACTTGAAGAGCAACTACCTTTTATGGCACTCCAAGATTGTTCCAATCACAATTTCTAGAATGAAGTGCAGTTGCAAAAGCCCCTGGCTTCACCACATGCAGCTACAGGTCCTTCGACCCTCTGCTCTCATTTCTGAACACAGACAATACCATACAAACCCTTGATGAAGAAAAGGACCGAAAGGAGTATCAGCATGGCTGTTCTGACACTCTGATTCCAGAAACCAGGTGAAGTAATAAAATGAGCCCTAATGAAGGAAACAGAGCATCCGACTGAATCATTCTTCACAGCTTGTTCTTACATTCAGTAGTTTGCAGAAAAGACTTCCTGTAGTTTGTACCACTCTGTTCAAGCAATGACTCTCCCCCCTCCCACAGGCTCCCGAGATTAAATACGCACAATCCTCAGAGAGATGCATGTGCAGTGCTATTTGCAGTCTTCCAATATGGCTCCTTAATAGAAATGCAAAGACCTGTGACACAGCAGCATTTAGTAAGTCATTTGCTACTAGATGAAATGTCATCATTGAGTAATGCAATTGTCCCCCATGTCCTGAGCATAACGGTCTGACATTATTGTCCTTAATTCATCAATATCCTTCCGTAACTGACAAACATCCAAGAGCTTCTTCGAAAGGGTTTCTGTGCTGTGGTAATTTTCATTCTCTTCAGATGAACAGCTCAGTGCTACAAAAAACAAAACCCAAGGTTAAAGCTCTAGCAACTGCACTTTGTGAAGACTTCAAGTAGTGAAGTCTCCCTTGAAATAAGAGGTAGGTCACTTGAATTTAATGACAAAGATGACTGTGATGAAAAGTCAACAAAACATGGTACTGCGTGAACTTAACACCCAGATAACCACAGAATGTAAAACATTCAGGTTAAAAAACCCTGTAATTGTTTGTTAAGCTTGTTAAAAGGAAAGACCTAACTCACTGCCCTGGAGCTTTGTCTGACTGGCTTTGGAGTGTGCTTCTCATCTCCTGATGAAGGCCAGAAGTGCCATCAACAGTACTGGAGACGGAGCTGCCTGGCACTAGATCTAATACATACAGACACCCACTCTACCCCAAAACCAGACACACACATGTTCAAACAGTAGATACATACTCCCACCACTCAACCCCAAGGGCTTTAAAACAAAAGCACGTGATGTAGCCACACCAGGCCTGCTTATGCCTCACCTCCCTCATGAGTTTATAGGGCAGAACATCTTTGGCAGAAAAGCATCCACTGATCCTCAGGGTGACTGCAGTGTGTCTCAGGAGGGACAGGCACCTGGCTATACACCTTTCTTTTCTAGTGGGGTGAACGTATCGATGACTGGGTCCATATGAAGAGCCAGCTGCCTCTTCTCCTGACTTGGGAAGGACCTGTGTAGTCATATGCATTTAGCACCCCAGGTGCACTAAAAGCCCAGCTTTTCCAGAGAGCTCCAAAAGTACACTTCACATGCAGCTGCCCTACGTGCATAGCAAGGGGGACAGTGGCCTGTCCAGCTGGCAAGTTTGAGCACCACTTAGCTAAACTGTTATTTCTCTGTGTCAACACACTATTAAGCTCTGGAATGACTATCACTTACATCTGATTCCCAGCAGTAAGGAAAGGTTAGGCTCCTTGCCCTGAGCTCTCTGGGTAAGAATACTGCACAGTGCTTTCAAGTCAAACAAGCAATGGGACATTTCCTTGAACAACTGGTCTGCTACAGGCATCTTCTCAGACACTGGCTGCCTGGACTGCTCCACCTGCCGCAGCTGCTCCTTCAGGGAGGCATTCTCTTCCATCAGTCTTTGGTTCTTTGTAAAAAGCAAATAGGAAAAAGAGGACAGTTAATCTGTAGCATGCACTGTAGCAGAAACTTCCCTGTCTCAGACCACAAACAATATAATTAATCATCATTAATTTCCATACATGTAATCAGTATTTCTGAACCCCTCCAAAGAATGGCAGATAGACAGCTTTTACATGGCTATTTCATGTTACCATTGCTTAACAGCCTTCATCCTTGAAGGCAGGGATGGTAATTATTGTACGCCATGCAGCAAGCATGGCCAAGTATGAAATTAAGCTCATAAAGCCCTGCCATGAGATCTTGTAGTCATTCTATAATGTTCTTCCCAGCTGGTGTGGTCAGGGGTTGGGTTTCTGGAGTTTTTACTTACTTCAGAGAGAGTTTTATTTAACTGCTCTATATTCCTTTCTTTTTCTTCAAGGTCATTTGTCATCTTCTGAACTATCAGTTTTTCTTGCACAAGCTTCTCTTGCATAGACTAAGTTGAATGAAAACACAGATAATGATTTAAAACTGTCATATTTTATATTAGCATTGACAAAAAAAGAGAATCCTCAGTAAATGTCTATGTTTCAGTTATTTATTGCTTTTGTATTAAATCTTCATTTTTTATTTTCTACCATTTTCACCCAGTAATGTTCAACTGGACCCCAACAGCTCTGTACATTAACACAGCTGTGCCAAATATCAGTGAAACCAGTTAAAAAAAGCAGTATTTGTTTAGAAATAAAAAGACTGTATGTATACAAAATGTTACTCCAATATGGAATGCATGAAGTCTAGAATAAACAATATTGCATGGTTATTTTAACCAAATAATTTAACTTGAAATATGGAGCAGACTAATGACAGGTAAGCTTCACTTGTGCAATTCCAAGTTGTAACTTAAGGGTTTTTTTGCCTTTGTTTTCCAAGAAGACTATGACAGGATTTTCTACAACCTCTCAACACAGAATTCATCTCACCTTCTGCATAGCCGAGAAGGTCTTTGACCGTTGATACAGAGCAGCAAGCTCTTTAAAACCATTCACACACAAGATAAATCACAACAGTGTATACAACTCTACTGTGCTGAAAAAAACAACTGCAGGCAAAGAAGTAACCTGTTTATAGTGTCAATTTTAACAGACACGATAATTACTGTTTTCAGTAATGAAAGCAGCAATAAATTTCTAGGCTGCTGTTGTACTTAAGCATTGGAGCTTTCCAGGGCTGACTTCCAGATCAATCCCAAGCAGCAACAAATGAACAACCGCTGCAACATGGGATCAGCTGCTGTCCATTCCCAAGTTTACACCTACAGAGCTGAAACTGAGAATCACAGACTCATACAATCATTTGGATTGGAAAAGAACTTTAAGATCATCAAGTCCAACTGTTAACCTAGCACTGTCAAGGCCACCACTAAACCTAAGCACCACATCTACCTGTCTTCTAAATACCTCTGGGGATGGTGACTCCACCACTTCCCTGGGCAGCCTGTTGCAATGCTTGACAACCCTTTCAGTGAAGAAATTTATCCTAATATCCAATCTAATTCATGAGATATTTCCAAAGTGGATTTTACTGGGGCAAATTCAGTATGACCACAGGTGTCTTTATTGTTAAAAAGATTCATATTCATTCTACTAGTTGGCTTTTAGATCTTTCAATGTCATCTGGTAAAATTCAGAAAGAGGAATATTTAAATCATCTTACCTGAATACTTGTAATAATGAATAGTAATTATGTAAACTCCTGATGCTTTGAAAGAGAGCTCTTTTCAGCTTTCATGAAGGACAAAAAAATCCCCTTTTATCATTAATGGTATTACTCACAAATTCAGTGCTGTGCTAGCACAGTGCATATAAATTGTCCTCCCCTTCGCTAGCTCAGCACGTTAATATGTAAAACCAGTTGCCTAATTTCAATTAAGAGATGCAAATCATGCTCAAAGTACAGCTGGAGCACCAGTGACAACAGTGCATGTCTTGGCACAGTTTGTATTATAACCTTCCACAGAGTGGAATGAGAGACCATGAAGGAGACGGTACATTTCACAAACTGATGGGGCTCAATTTTGGAATGATGCTATCCCAGAAGAAAGTTTTTTTTCTTGAGTCTCTGTAGGAACAGTCCTAATGTCTCTCACAGGGAATCCTATATGGTAGCTTAAATAAAGTGCTATAGAAAGATCGATGTCACTCTTCAGTAAAACATATGTTTAAATTGCTGCAACTTTCTTCAGAGAAAAAACCCAAGCACCCCACTAGACAAAACCACAGCAAACTGTGTCAAGCTATATTGGTTTAGGGTCCTAGGAAAACAATTTAGATTTGGAAAAGGCACCAAATACAATCAATAGTGCCAAGCCATATTGATTTAGGGTCTTAGGAAAACAATTTAGCTTCAGAAAAGACGCCAAATTTACTCTTGTGCACGTTGCTCCCAAGATGCAGGGAGAACGGAACTTTCAGGGTACCAGTACTGGGGGCTGTAGCACACAGCAGGCTGTATCTGTATACAGGCCTGCGTTTTACATGTATGTAGCTTATGGGGTGGACAAGACGCCATTTAATTGACTTGCCAGCTGTAAGAATGATCAGTGCTGATGAGCAGGTAGGGAGTAAGAAGAGGTGAGGCCAGACAAGACACTGACTGGTGTTTTTAATAGCCTGACCACTCACGGGAGGTGTGCTGCCTTGACAAAATTTCCCAATGCATTCAGCTCAACACTGCACAGGCAGCATGAGAAGCCAGTACTTCGGCAGTACCTTTGCAAAACTGGAAAAGAATGGTGTGAAAATTTACACAACATGGACTAAAAAACCCCACATTTTATTTTCATGTAAATAATAAGAATCAGCAGGCAGAATCCAGAAATTACTTGTTTTTAAAACTGTTTTCACATACTTGACCTGCTTCTCAGTTCACTCATACTGTGCCCCTCGAAAGGAAGTGCTGAAATAATGTGCATCCTAAAGATAAGCTGTGTGAGAAAGCAGAGCTTCACACTCCAGTGGGAGGAAGGGGAGGAAGAAAGAGGGCCCTGCTTCACGTCAAAGGAAACAGCCTGGGCAGGAGAAGGCAGGAAATAGCACTGCCTCAGGCATTTCCTTTGTCATGCTTGCAGATGAGCAGAACCCACAGTGGTGTTGAACCATCTTCTTTAGCTTTTTAAAAACATTGTCTACAGAGAAAAATGGCCATTTTGAGTCAGACTGAAGGTCCCTCTAGCTCAGTCTATCTACAGCCAAACAGAAGATGCTTAGGGAAGAGGAGGAGAACAGGGCCATACAGTAATAGCAGGTGCCAAAAACACCCTCCCAAGTATCTTCACCTTTTAATAGATTTTGATCCACTTGTCTTCCATGAGCAAGTTCAGGGACACACAGAGCATTAGTACTACCACTTACATGTTTCATGTTGTTTCAGTGTCAGACATTAAAGTTTGTCTGTGCAGCCTTCCTGAGGGTGGGAAGCTGGTGGGAAAGACAGGTTCAGAAATATCGCCTTCCCTAATGTATTTTCAGAACTGCATCTACCACCAATTTTATGCGACTGTGCAAACTACTCCAAAACCAACTTGTAAAATATTCCTAATAATGTGCACATGTTCAGCTCATGTTTAACAAGAACTACTACAAGTGGAAATCAGTGTTTAGTTCTAAAAAGTACACCTAACACCTATCATCATTCTCTGCTGCCCTATTCTTAAAGCTCATAAAAAGCACCTGTGCTTACCAGCTTGGCTGAGTCCTCAATGCTATGATTTCCCAGTGCTCATAGTGCTATGAGTCCTCCATACTTCATCCTTACTTTTTCCATATGCTTTCCAAGGTTACAGTTTGGTGGCATTACTCCCAGCCTGGCAGAGTTTGGGTTTATTGTGACTGACAGAATTGACAGATGTACTCTGGGTAACACAGGCATTGTACAATCTGATTTGTACTCCATTTTTCATACTAAAAGTGTTAATTTTATGATATCTAAATTAATCATGTAAATACAGTTTTTTTCAACCCTGTATTATTTTTCTTTTTCTGAAGATGCATTATCTATGCAGCATGACAGTTGTCAAGACCAACCAGAATTTTAATCCCTCATGCTCAGTAGAACAAATCAAACAAGCAAATCCATAAAAGGAAGATCAAAATCATTCCACTATGATTATGAGCAAATAGAAACTGCTGTCTGAAACACAATTTCTTTGTTTTCAGCTTGCAAGTTAAAAACAGTGAAGTGAAATACATTCTCAAGCACAAGTTTACAATGTGGCAGAAGACAAGGAATAAAATGAGATCCTCTGAGCTGAAGATAAATGGTATCTCTGTGTTGATAAGGGATTTCAGTTCCTAATGAACTAATTTTCAATGCTTCCCAGGGAAAAAATATGGAAGACGAGGGAGATTAAGGATACAAAGAAGCTGCTTAGTCTAAAAGTAATTTGATGGCTAATACCATTTTCAAATCTTATTTTCTGTCCTTACATAAAATACCTCAAAAGAAGAAAAGGAAGAGAAGGTTCTGGAGAACAGAGCACTACTCTGTTCACCGACTGACACAACTGCTCAGCATTTCCCAGTCTCAGCTCCCTAAAGCAATTTCAGACTAAGCATTGAAATCAGCCATCTGTGTAACATTCAAAAAGATCACTTGTCTCAAGGTAAAGAGACAAGATAAAGAGACAGAGAGAAACAGATGGGAAAATTCAGAAAATATGAAAAGACTTAGGTTGGTGATAATACATTTAGGCAAGTTGTGCGTATTTCTTATAATGAAACAACATTTCTTACAAAAAACAAGATATACAAGTAGTACATATCTAAGTAATCTTAACTAAACGATGAAGATGGACAGAGAACCTCAGAAAGGTTACTGAGTTCAATTTGAACTTTTCTGGTTTTAATTATGAAATATACAAAACTACATTTCCCTGTGTCACAATTTATGCATATAACAGGCTGCTCCTTGAAAACGTCTCAATTCAATATATTTTGTCTTCTTCAAACCTAGAGAAGCTTAAATTATTTATCTGTTCAGATGTATGTTATGCAATTTATATTCCCCTACTGCTTCTCTAGTTTTATTAAATACACTGTAATTTAATTAAGCAAAAATACAGTTGTTGACAGGAATCAGGCCTGCCATTTCCCTGCATGGTCAAGAAAGCAGGCAATTTAACGGTGGAAGACAACTTACTTTCAACAGCCACAAATAAGAAAACTTGGCTCCAGTGTGCAAAGTGGAATTAAGAAAACACATTCTCTTAGCACTTGCTATGCAAGCAGTTTTGTGTCTCTTCATTATTTGGATTCTCGCATTACAGAGTGCTCCCCCCCACTTTGAAAGAGCAGTCATTCAGCTGACTGTTTGCTACTATTTTGTTGTTGTTCCAAACCTAATGTACACAGAGCAAAGCAGAAGCACCTTCTTCATTCTCAAGGGACAACACTGTAACTTCATTCTTTCTGGAGGGCAAGGAAGCAAAAAAAATGTAGAGACAAACACCAGTTTAGAAGAAGAATGCAGAAACTAAAACTGACTGAATTCGCCTTCAGTATCTGCTGAAAACAGATGCTTGCTTTCTTAAATGCTTAGCTTTTTCTAGAGCAAGTCACACCCTTCTTCCCTATAACATGTATAATGTTCCTTTTTCTCTACAACAAACACTGGTCACTAAGTACCTTTCAAGTATCAAGATCCTGATTTGTTAATCTGATCCACAGAGCTGTAACTGACTCCCAGCTGACAACCTCTGCTGTCTTGAAAAATCCTTGACTCCAAGCTCGGTGCCCAAGATCCTCCAAGAGAGTTAAGGTATCTGAGTGACTGATGTGCCAGAAACCAGTTGAACAGGGGCCTGCTTAAACTGTGTGAAATGTGAAGCAGCATGGTTTAACAAGGTACCTGGCTCTAAAAGGGTGCTGAGCAGCAAAGCACCCAATCAGTATCACTCTTTGTACTTTGGATGACCATCTGAAACCCAAAGTTGGATGGGAGGCTTCACTGTTACTCAGAGGCAGTCCTCACACTTCCAACAGCCAGTTCTAACAGGACAACCACTAGATCAGCAGAATAAGGATGCTGCACAGCAACAAGCTTTTAACGTTATGGTCGGTACTGGCAAAGTGCTAAAGCATACAAATATCACTAACAAATACATTCTGAACCTGCAAGAGAACACAGGTCAATTACAGGCCATAAGATTAGGTTACTGGCATTCCTACTTTTGCCTCCTACTTGGGAAGATCAAAGGATGAAATCCAATTTTAGTGATGTTATCTTTATGAACTAAAAATGGACAGAGTAAATAGCAGAATATACATTTTTCCTTACCTGCAAGTCTAAAATCAGTCCAGCTATCTGATTTTGTTGATTGTCTATGACCTAGAATATAAAATTGAGTCATTTAAAAAGCTTCAGATCCTTTTTTAAAAAAATCAACTTACAGGTGTATAGCCATTAATTTTAAATGGAATCTTTGAAAATGTAAATGACAAGAGAGTGTTTAACTCTGACAGAACAGGAAATTCATGCGAATAAATGTACTGAACAGAAACAGGCAGTTAATGAAAAGAAATCTGCATTAGCAACAAATGCATAATTCTTTAGTGATATATTTATTTGTAATGTAAAGAACTAAAGAAAAGGACTCAAGGCTAAAGAAGCCACCAGTATTTGCAGACTAACCTTACTGGCTTTCTCATTCTTTTCTTTGAGACATTCATTCTCGCTCTGAAGCTGTTTTGTGTCCAACATTGGAAGGCGAATACCATCTTCCAGGCATTTTTCTACTTTCTCCTGTAAACTGTCATTAAACATGAAAGAAAACTTAAGCGCACTGACACAAACCTGAAGTGATGTGTGTTCCACTGAAAAAGCAGAAAGTTGCACCATTTTCCAACCAGAATTGTAAAACTGTACCTAGCCAAATCCAGCCTTATGAATGAGCAAATCGACAGTGGATGAATGATGCAAAAATCCTAAACTACTGAAATTACTGTGGCACTGACCGGAAGAGATTCATGCAGGAATGGTTTTATGGGCCAGATTCTGTGCTGCATCTCCCAAAAGGCACAACTTGAGGGCAGAGAGGAGCAAAGAAAAGCTTTGTGGTGCTCACAGCTGCTCTGTGCTGCTATGGGATGCTAAGCCAGCACCAGCATAGATCAGAAGAGTCTTCAAACCTCTCAAAGTGACAGGAGCTTTAAAACCAGACTTTCTCACTGTGGGACATACAACTCAAACAGGAGTCCAGAACTAGAGGTTGCACCAAGTTCTGGCAGCCTATCCTTCATGCCTTCTGCTATGGGGGAACATAAAGTCACCTCCACCAGGTGCTCCCATAAGGACACGACCTTCAGACCCTCTGCAGCTCAACTCCAGCTGGAGTAGCTGGAGCCTTTGCTCACCTTCTCTCAGAAAGAAAACTCATTTTATTTGTGTTAATCTTGCTGTCTAATTTAGAAACCAGAGGCCACCTCAATTATCTGTAGGCTTTCAGAAAAGACAAAATGACCTCCCTCTGGATTATGAGGGCACAAAGAAAAAAGGCCTTTCATTGGTAAGATGGAAACAATGCGTCAACAATTTGGCTGGCTAGGTGTCCCAACCAGCTTGCCTTTCATCATGGAAACACTTTCAAACTCCTGTGGCATGCACCACAGTCCCAATGGAGGGACAGTGAACTGTGGTAACATCCACATAAATTATTAAGAGTGATTCCCTTCTTGTTTCCCCTCTTCCCCTTTTTAAAAAGTAAGTATTTAAGTAACTCCCCTGACCTAAAATGTACCATAGTAACAATGTCTCCATGTCTCATCTGGAATCTTCTAATGGGTATCTGTCCCATTTGTCTTTTCATAGTTAGGTAAGTTCAATGACAGCATATTAGCTACAGCTAAATCTCTCTGTCAATACCCCCACCCTCACTGAAAAGTTAAGAAACAGCTACAATTTATTTAAAACTTTGACCCTTCCCCGGTATACCATGTCCCAGGGAGCTTTTCCATGGCTCGTGACAGGATAAGTTATCAAATCAAAGTGCTGACAGCTTCTATGGACTGGTCCTTTGCTGCACATCTTTATTCTATTCTCTACCTGCCAGCAGGGTATGATGCCACTGCAGCAGCAGCCTACATCTTTAATAAAATAAGTGAAGAGTGTCCTAGGCAGACTCTTCTCTGTAGTATTGCTTCTGCAACTTGACACAAAAATTTTGATGGATTTTCTATTGCTTTATACTGTCATTCTGCACATTAATATGCTTATGCCACAATAAATCATTAGCACTGTAATAGGTTAAGAGTGCAAATAACATTAGGTCTTGACATCAGGTGGGATGTACCCACCGTTTCAGGGCACAGCCCAAGCAGCTGTCCATACCTCTGTACTGTTGTGACCAGCTCTTTTTCTTTTTTCTTCTGGCATGCCAGCTGCAGCTCTCTCTCTCTGCACTGCGACTGGGCCTCTCCGAGCTTCTTTTCTAACTCGGTCATAGTTTCTTGAAGTTGCTTGTTCTTCTCTTCTAGAATTTGCAGCTACAGGTGACATTAGTCAGACACAACACCACATTAGCAGAAGGGCTTGCGGCAGGCCATAGCCTTGCAGTTACTTTCTGTATAATTTTAGGCCCATTTCACTTATCTGAGTATGAAAATCCCTAATAGCTACAGTGCTTATTAGACACTGAAATACTTCTCTTCCTAAGCAGATGGGGGAAAAAAAAATATATGTTGAAACAGTAAAATATCTGACAACTGATACTAGGGAGCTTACTTGTGTTTTCAAAATGTAAACCAAGCTTCCTTTACCTTACCTGTTTAGTCTGCCCTTCAATATCATCCAGCGTTGGCAGGTCTGCCAGATATTTTTCTAAGGTTTCAATTCGTCTTTGTCTTTCTTTGTTTTGATCAGACTCTTTCTGGCATTTCTTTTTCAGACTATTAATATACCGGTCTCTGGTTTTAAGCTAGAAGACAGTAAGAGCACATGTTTTACAATTACAGTGAAAAACAAACCTGCTTTGGAAGCAGGGGCTTCCGCTCTTCAGGAATTGCCCTCTCAGCTGCATGAAAGGGTTGGTCACTGCAGAAAACAAAACCAAAGGATGATTAATCCCAGAAGCTCCAAATCACAGACTCACAGGTAACGTCGAACCAGTTGTTTCACCTCTGCCCAGAACACTCTGTGTGCCTTGTGAACCAAAAACATGACAGTTCAACAGTTTAAATAATCTGATTTTTTTTCACCAATGAGGATGTTCACATGCAACAAATGATTAGGAAATATTTTAGTCCTACTTCTTCCTCTGGCCTAGGAAAACAACTTAAAAGACACGGACTTAAGAACTTAACCCAACAAGAACTGGAGAAAAAACCCCTGACTTTAATGCAGTCTGATGTTTACATCAGAGGTCATCAGAACACAGTAGTGGCTTTCTTAAAGCACCTTTTCTACAGACATCTTAATTGTCCATCAGCCTGAAAAAGTTGTTGTTTTTTTTTTCAAAGAAAGGACCTGTTATCTTTGCTCACACTCCTGGTACTTACTTTGCTTTATTACGTAGGTGAAAAAAGGGAGAAGAAAGGAAGAAAAAAAGAATATTTTCCAGTCATAGTCCAATTTAATGAAAAACAGTATCTCTATTGCTTGATCCAGGGTGCAGTAATTCACAGATAACAATCACTTGTCAACCAGAGTAAATGCAAAACCTACTTTTATTTTGGTGCTACAGACATCCATCTCACAGAGAAATAAATGTGTGACACTGCCAATGTCAGAGCTCTGTAACAGCCTACTGAAAAGTTTTAAGTCAGTAATATCTGGAAAGTTTTTTCCAGAAATAGCCTTCTATATGGGCCACAAAACTGAGGACTGCCAAAAGGTCAGAAATCTTTGTACCTTTTATTTTATCAAGACCTGAAAACTGAACATAGATATCAGGCTGCTTTAAAAATCTTTCTGACTGGACAATGCTCAAGCAAACCCCACGTTCAGGAAGGCAAAGCTTCAACTCAAACACAATCTTTTGCCACAATACATGCTTCAGAAGCACATATTCCCCCCCACAGGCCAAAGCCTTAAGGCAGTGATATAAAAACACACGTGTAAGCCAATGTCGCACAGTGAGAATTACCAGTGGCCTGACATTAAGTAAGTGAATCCCTTCCCTCTGTTTCTCACATAGTGCCAAGAATGACAGGTTGAACAGTCAGGATACTCCAGTACTCGTGTGACATGGTTTTCAGATCGTCATCTCCTGCATAGGGAATTTCCTCTCCCGCGGTCTTTCTCCTCATAATAGCTATTGTGTTCGCCTTAGGATTCCTTCTGCCCTCTCTAAATCTTCAGCATCACCCCAAGGACTCTTTATACCTTCTCTCGCACAAGATGAAAAAGATGATTTTTTTTTATTTCCATTCACTGTTGCTGGCTCTGCTGTGGGGAAAACAAGCTTTGGAGTTTGCTTTCTTTTCATTTCCTCCTTCATACACATGCTGCTGACTTTGTTGAGGCAGGAAAAGATAGGAAAGCTCTTGCCTCTTGGCAATTAACACTAAAAGCAAGGCCACAGAAGTCATAGGAGAGAAAAAGCTAGCAGCAGTACCTTTCAGGAGCCCATCACAGTTACCCAGAGCAGAGGGAGAAGGAGCAGTCAGCAGCTTCTGAAACTTCAGTGCCAATTAAAGAGCTCTCAATCACCTCAGTCCTACACTGACTACACACTGAGCCTAGGGGAGAATGAACCTTCTCTTCAGGTATTTTTCACAAGGTGGTACAAATACTCCCTTGCTTGGTATTTCTGCATGGGGCAAAGACAAATATCATGCCAGCAGTGAGCAAAGAACATCTCTGATCACTGCTGCCCCTGTGGTTTCTCAAAAGGAAAGCATCAACTGCATCCACCATAATATTAGAAGGGACATAGCACTTCAGACCAAGAGGCCTTCTAGCCCAATATCCAACATCTCCAACAGTAGCCATAAACAGATGTCTACCATAAGGAAAGAATGAGAAAAGCACATTTTTCCATCCTCCAGCTGCTTTCACCTTAGGGCTCTCCTGAGGTAGGAATGATTTCTGTGCATTTAGAACAGGGCAGCACTTCCATCAACTCACCCACTTTTCCCTTGTACCCACCTTTACCCTCAGCATCCACAACAGCCTCCAGAGAGACAACTTACAGGTTTGCTATAGAGAATCGGTGTGAGGAATTGTCTCCTTTTGCTGCTCATGCAGTTGGCTCCTAGAGCTTCACTAGATGTCCCCTCACTCCCGCAATGGGAGCTGCAGTGAGCAGCTGATGGCCCTCTGTCCCTTCCAGGCTGCTCGTGGCTCTGCAGACTCCAACACACTCCCTCCCTTTCAGTCAATTCTTTCCCACGATGAGATCAAATCATTCCTCCTGTCATTTTTCTGACGGATATCCCCCTTCTTTATCGTGTCTGAACCTTTTCCAGTTCCAGTATGTCCTGTTTTTGTGATGAGGAAGACTTCCCTAGGCCTCTCACCACTGACAAAAGATGATCAATGACACATGAGTGTTCCTTATGTTTTCTTTCCTCCCACCTACACTGAATGCTCACAGCTTGTCCCTTATTGTCAAAAACATACCAACTATACACACTGTATTTAGATACTGTATGCTAAAAGCTCCAGTGTGGGAAAAGATGGTATTATATGCAAAAGTGGAGCAGTCACAGAAGTAGAAATGCGCAACAGCAACCTGAAACTAAACTTTACTTATAAGTAAAACTCTCCTGAATGTTAACAGTATTTTCCACACTCCCTGTCCAAATCTGGCATTGAGATTAAAAAACTCACCCTTTCTGAGGAGGCAGGCATTCACTCAGAAACAGCCCTAGCACAGCTACTGGCAACAATCCCTCTGATAAGTAAATAATGTTTATAAATAAGTAAAGGGTGAACGTCAGGAGGAAGGAGGCAGGCTCTTCTCTCTGATGTCCAACGATAGGATAAGGGGACTGGGAGCAAGCTGGAGCATAGGAGGTTCAACCTGAACATAAGGAAAAACTTTTTCACTGTGAGGGTGACAGAACACTGGACCAGGCTGCCCAGAGAGGTTGTGGAGTCTCCTTCTCTGGAGACATTCAAAACCCGCCTGGATGTGTTCCTGTACACCCCAGTCTAGGTGATCCTGCTCCAGCAGGGGGGTTGGACTGGATGATCTTTCGAGGTCTCTTCCAACTCCTAATATTCTGAGATTCTGTGAAGTACAGAAATTCTATTTTTGTCCCCTAACATCAGTCACTGACCTGGCCTACTGCTCATGTTCCCTGCAGGAACACAACACGGCTCTGTCCTCCCCTCCACAGTCTTCCCTTAAATGGAAGGGCACTGATTTCATTACAGAAACACCTGCTCTCCCTCCCTGCCCTTCCTCTCCTTGAGAGCCTTTTGTTCAGCACACAAAACTGATGGCATGAAGGGGTGAATCAACACTGAGCAGTGAATCAGGCTCCTACCTACAGACCATCCTACTGGCACAAGCACTGCTGCACAGGTCCCCACCACTGCCACCACCTACAGCAGCAGCACCCAATTTCTGCCCTTCCTGAATGCTACCCCTAGTGAAAAGCATACTATAAGGTTCATAGAAAATGGTAAGGCAGAATTTGAGATGAATTATTATTTTTCTTTGCTTTCCCACATGCCACTTCCCTGGATCATACTGCTCCTACCCCTTGAACCTGCATTAATATAAATCTAAGCCCAGTAATCAAATAGGAGAAGGTAACAGTGACAGTGTATTTCTAAAACACCAGTTAGGAACCACTTGGTCACTGGCACGTTCCTGCTTGCAATAAAGGAAGGCTGTCAGGACATTCAAAGCTCCCCCTGGGTATTGCTCCAGCCCCCAAAGAAAGCCCTTGCCAAGCCCGTTCCAAGAACGCAGCCATCTAAGTCCCTTCCCTGTCTCATCCTAAACTCTGCTCTGCACCCCCTAGCAAAGCTACAAGAGAATCGCTCCTGCTGAGCGGGCACATACAGGCTGGGAAGTGCATCTCAAAGCATGAGGCCTGCAATTACAAGCCATGTTAAAAATAGGGATTTTCACAGTCTTTCTATGTTTTTAAATGATGCTTTATCTACTGCAATAAACACAAAAAGCTGTATGGATTCTTAGAGCTGAGCAGCTTTTCTTCAAAGCAAGTTTAACTGATATCTGGTTAAAATCATCATTATGCTTGCCATTCCATCTTGTATCACTGTTTAGGATGTATTCACTACAAGCTCAGATTTATCCACTGCCAATACCTACAACCAGTATCAACTTTTCTCTCACAGACAGTTTAATGACCTTTTGAAAACAGCTCAGCGATCCACATCCTAAGTCGCTTTCTAGCAAATAAAACATATGCTGCCGTAACAGTGTCAAAAGGAAACATGGAACACAAAAGACACTTACTTTCTCTTCCATCTTCTTTTTCTCCTCGCTAGATTTGTTTGAAATTTGTTTTACAAATTCGATGAGTTGTAATTCCTTATTTTCAGCCGCTGCAATCTTTCGCTCAAGCTCTTCAAGGTGGGATGCTGATCTTTCCGAAACGTGAGCTTGCAGGGGTGTGCTCTCATACTGTGGTGGCTTACAAAAAGAAATAAAATAATCATTCAAATGAATGCACACATACCACCGTATACTTCAGCAGCACAACAGAAAGCAGTCCTGCATTTTTTTCTGCTTTCAGGAAGGGTGGGGCTTCATTTTTCAAACATGAAAATATGTAGTAACAGCAAGTCTTTCAGAAATCTGGACAAGAAAAATTAAAGAAGCTGGACACCATTCACCACACATACAAATCTACATTGTGAGGACATTTTCCCCTCAGATTTATGAAAGAGTTGTGACTTTTCTTACAAAAGGAACCCCTGAAATTCCAAACAAAAAGTGTTTCCAAATCACATCACTGCCACCGCATTATCATACCATCCCCTAGGAAGAAAACCACTCTGTAAAACAGCTATGAATATATTAAAGTACAAGATGCTCCAATCTCAAGATCCTTTTAAAGCAGAACATTAGCACTAGTAAACCTTAGAGCATTCACACCTGAGGTGCAGAAGGGTGCAGGGACAAGCCTGAGACTACAGCTGCAATCAGAATCAGGCCTCCTACCTCCTGTCCCGTGTACCAAAACCCCTCTCCCTTTCTGTTCCGTGCAGTTCAATATTCCTTTGCTACCTCCATTGCCCACTGACAGACAGGCACAAAATGGAAATCAACTGCATGTGGGATGAAAAAGCAGATGCATCCTATTAGGCTTTCAGTTTCCAGATTCTTTTAATAACATTAATTGGTATCTTTAAAGAAATTATACAAACAGTATTTTTAACTAGTAAGATTCCTTCAGCAAAGGATTAAAAGAGATGAAGACCTCCATTAAAGGAGATGTGCATTTGTAAATCAATCTTATAGAAGGCACAGAAATCAACCAGAAATCCTAATACATTATAAGCTTTTTAAACTTGTTATATTATGAAATATGAATGCATATTAGATTCATATGGTATACTAAGATATGTACACAAAAATTTCAGTTTCTGCAGTATTTTTTTGTTTTCCCCAAAAATCTTAATCCAGGCAGAATTTTGAAGTATTTTACAAAAGAACTTTTGGAAGCACCAAAAGCCACATTCCTAAATGTCTGAAAAAATTTCTGAATACCTAACTCAACACTAAGGCTCCACTTGAATTTCTCTCCTGTCTCACGCAGAGATTCTCACCTGATACACAGCTGTGTTATTCCAAGGACATAATTAATGTCACGCTGAAGTATGCTAGCTGAGATCCTGGTGCAGTGTTTGTGACAGAAGAAGATAAGGGAGTAAAAAAGGGGGCAGAAAAGCAATTTCTTTGCATATCTGCCTTTAACATTCTCATTCTGCATTGCCTTTTAGATACGCTGAGGTCTGGAGATGGAATTTGTGTGCTACGACAGAGTAGCGGCCATGGTCCTCAAACTGCTCTGCATTTTGTGGTTAGCCTATGCTACCTCATCCTTGCACTTTCTGATACTTGTGCTCGTTAGATAAAAACCAGGACAGGGATGTCCAAAATACCACGACATATCCCCTTTCAGACTAAGTGTTCCTCAGGAGTACTAATCCATTCCTTTTCAAGTGCCTTGTGCAAAAGCACTCTACCAGGCTGTCTGTCTTCTCCACTCTTTTGCATAGCACCTCCTTCTGCTCTTCAGAAAAACCTTCCATTACTTGTTTTCAGATATTCTTATCGAACTACTTTGTCTCTTAATATCCCCCTGTACAACTGTGATACATGCACACTGCTAAACCCTTGTTCTTACAGTGTCACAATCTCTCATTCTTATCCCATTTTTATCAGATTTCCAAACACTTACATTAACATTATGTACATACCTTAGACTTTTTGCAAATGTAAACTACAACATTTACAAGGCATTCTTCTCCTCTATGCAACTTACATCTATACCATTACACAACTATCAATAACCACAAAAGCTCTACATTTTGGCCTGCTGTAAACTGTGAACGTGCTTTCAAGGTGTCAGTTACTGAGCAATGGAAAGCTTTGCTAAAAGAAAAACATCCATTCTACCTGCAAATTAGTCATGTAAGGTTCTTCGCAGTTCACAAGATGGCTCAGTCTTGCATGTTGAGCCCGCAATTCATTCTCCCTTATCTTCTGATGCAAATTGTTAATTTGCTGCTTTTGCCTGTAATATACAGATTTTATGTGAAAAGAAAGGGAATGGAACAGATTTATAAAAAACATAGATCTTAAGATTTATACTGAAGAATACCGTAACAATGCTGTTAGACTATCCCAGATCTACATTAGCTGTGGGCTTTTTCCCACCACAGCCAGACTGCAACTAGCCTAGTTTACTACTGGAACTGGAATCTCATCGGGACATGAGCTATTAAACTACAGTTACCATGTAACGTTCACTTAAACATACCCCAAAGGGTCTGGGCTCAACTAGCAACAATAAGCAAATCTTTTAGAAATATGGTTTGAAAACTTTTGAGAGGCAACTGCTTCACATAAGATGCACCCTAGGTAAAGGTAAAACACTGCACTGCGTACTAAACCAGTACCACTATTATATCACTGTTTAATTATATCACCTTTAAAATCATGACTGCAGGGTAAATACAAGCCAGGTCTCAGCCCAGCCCACATTACAGCCCCGAGGTGCGCTGTACTCGCTATGAAGCGATGGGCACCTCAAGAACTGACTCCAGAACAGAGTTGTCAGCACCCATCAGCAACACACATAGCAACTTTTTCAAACTTAAAACCAATTCTGTGCACTCTTTTAATTTCTCTTTTTTCTTCTTCTTTATACTAGGATATACTTGTATACAAGCATGAAATTGTTTCCCAAAGCTTCACCTCTAAGCACGAGGTATGACTGAAGTATAAAGAAGTTGCAATCTGGTAGTACCCTAGAACAATTCATTCAATGCAAATCATAAAAGCAGAGCAACTGAATGTATTTACATCACTACACAGCAAGTCATAAAATATTCTATTCACCACAGGGGATTTTGAGGCTTCCCTCTTCCATTCCACTACCTAGATGGAGCAAGCTTGTACAAATAGGAGTATGCAACACCGGAAGACTCTGTGTAGTTCTGGTTGGCATCCGTGCAATGGCATTACAAACAAAAAGCTTGAAAGTTATTTTGGAAGCAGCAGATTTGAAGATCAGGTAAAAGAATACACTCTTAACTTGTAACAGACCTTGTATGAGCCCATGAGCTTGTATAATCATATAAGAAAATACAAAGACTTGATGACTTGTGTGCTTGCTTGGTCCCAGATACCAAAATTATTTAGTATGAGCTGTCTTAACCTATGAACAGAACTAATTTTTCAATTTTATACCCTTATTACTTACAAGACAAATCTGTTAAAATGTCTTTGCCCCATGTGTTTTAAAGTTATTTATCCATTTGTCACTTGTCCCTTGAAGGCCCTATGTGATTTTCTGTTTGTGGCTGATGGTATCTTAGCAGTGCCTTCCTTCACAGGCCAGATTTCCACAGCCTGAACTAAACACTACAGCCTGGAGTAAATGTTTTAAAATATTTTTGAACTTCCATTGCAGTTTGAACTACATGACCATATTATTTCCTTTCATAATCCTTTCCCTACCCTACCAAATCCCTGCAGGAAAAAAGGTGAGACAAATTAATCCGTGATGAAACAGAGCTGCGCTAGCACAGTGTAACTACCTCGCTTCTTTTCATTCTGCGGACCATGAAGCTCTCTACCATTATAAAACCTTGTCAACAAAACACACCGTACAAATGTTTTAAGGCTGTGTAGATCCTGCACAACTTCCTCACATAACTGCCCCTCTGAAAACATCATTAACCTCATGGTACCCAGAAACAAATATTCTGAAAACAGCCCAGCAGTCACAAGCAGAACAGAAGATAAGCACCATAGAAACATATTTACTGTTTGCATTCAGTCCTATAAGTCTTTGGAGACTTCATACCAGATGCATTTTATCACTGATGTTCTCATATGCTAAGACAGTTTTAATCCTCTGTTAGCCCACAGCTGTTACTATTAATCCGCTGCATAACCACAGGCCGTAAGCTTTATTTAAAGGCAGTGTAGAAAAGTTCAAACGCTCTCACAAACACAGCTTGCGTATTGCAGCAGGAACACTGTCCCCAAAAGCCTCCCTATTACCAGTCAATCACCCCAGCACTTCCAAAAAGACTAAGAAAAATCCCTATCACCAGCATTTAGGTGCTTTCAAAATTCTGCTCAGGTACACGGTGACTGCCACTCTGGTTAGACCCAAACCAGATATAAATAAACCTGAAACTGAGGGATTTACCTTCTAGACAGCAACGCTACTCTCACCCTGTATCAGCTGTAATGTTTATAACCTCGTGCGCATCCTCTGTGTTCGCAGAGGGCCAGGCCAGAGCAGACTGAAATTCTGCAACTGTTGTGACCAACGGTGGCAAACTGTGCTCTGCTCTTCCCTTTCTCAGCTGCTAACATCCTCAAGTGTCTCCAAGGGTTCAAGATGTGTTTAAAACAGCTTAAACTTGTTCTATCCATGCCAAAGTAAGAGTTATTGGCATATTACATAAATGTCACAGGACTTCTCTCATGGTTTCATTCAGCTTCTTTGTCCAAAGAGAAAATACTCTCTTTCACTTCAAGTGTCTGTCTAGACATGTCCTTTTCCCTTACAATCAGGCTTAAGGAGAGGAGAAAAGGAGGTAACACCCTGCAGTAAAGCCGTCAACCAACCAAAGGGACTCCAGAAGGGAGAAGTTTGGGTTTGGTGGGTTTTTTAAAAACAAACAAACAAAAAACCCAACTCACAAAGGTCAGGGGGAATGAAAAACATCTTTTTGGGAGGGACATTTAGAAATGTTCCTTATTTAAATTGTTGTTTCAGGAAAAATATGTCATTAAAAGCTGTATAAACCTCCACTCTTCATTCGATGAATACAAACATGACGGTAATAACAACGTTTTCACAAGCACTTCTGGCACAGATCTTTTCAGCTGTCCCTCAAGGTGTCCTGTCTCCAGGAATGGGGGTGCCAGTGCAGAAGCAAACAGACAAAAAGAGGTTTCAAACTCCTTTTGAATTAGGACGATATTCTCTGGTACAGAGAAGACCACTGCAGTTACCTGCAGAAGAGTTCTGCAACGAAGGCACTGAAGACACTGTCTTGTATTTTTCTTCAAATACATTGATTTTAGGACTTTTTTTCTCAGAACCTGCTTGTTACATTTTCATTATCATTATTAACACTATTTTTCTTCTAAAATTTCACTGATACCCTGGACTATGCCTTTTCACCCCATTTTTCGAACCTCCAGCCATAATTTATAAATATCCTGAGACCAAATCCTCCCCATGCTGCTCCCAGGTTCATTCTTTCCAAGGGAACTCAGCTGAAATGACAGCTTATCCAACACACGACTCAAGTGGCAGCTACGTGCTCTACAGTACCTCGTAACCAGCTCTTTTGTCCCAATTCCCACATGATAGTTATTCACATGCTAGCTAGATTACTTACAGAAAACTCTATTATTTTCAGAAAGTAATGGCCTTGGCTTACTTCCAGGCCTCCTAAAACAGACAAATCTTTTGTTTCCTTTTCTTCTATTTTCTTGAGCATTTTTTGTAAACAAAATTTCAAGGCTTCAGGCACATTTCACTACTGCAGATCAATAATACTTTATAAGGACAGAAAAGTTAGAAGCCTGTCATGGCAGATTATACAATTCTCTCGCCTTTCCTGGAATTACCAATTATTAGCGTCACACCAACCACTGGCACTAGAGACTCGGCTACCTGACTAAGATGGTGGTTCTGTGTAATTATTTTTATGGCATTTAAGAAGAGTACTTCTCCCTACCTGACTTCCTGCCTGCCACGGGTACTTCCATTTCCACACAGTAACCTCAGTGTTGAGCCCAACAATTTAAATCAAACTGAAGCACATCCATCATCAGGAAGCTAAAAGCCCACACTCAAGGACTGAAACCAAAGTGACATGTGCCAGCGTGGTTCTGGCAGGTCCCTGCCAATGTTCCTTGCTGTGGAAGACAGCAAAAGCCTGATCCTGAATGTCGCCATGTCTGGGGAGAAAGTCAATCTGAAGTATTAAACGTCTGAGAAGGAAGGCTCACTAAATCTGGCTCAAACTTCTATCTTTCTGATGCTAAGGGGAGGGGGAACAAAAGTAAATCCCAGAACACTTCCAGCCAATTATGCACCTTTTTTTTTTTGCCAGAAAAAGCCACTCTTACTAAGTCCTTGCAAGAGCAGACCAGCCCACCAGCTATGCTTTTCTCTTGTAATGTGCATTAGCACGCCCTAACATCAACAGGACAGGAGGAGAGGCCAGAGCCCAGGCAGCCCTGCTGCAGTTCTGCATACCCTCCAGGGCACAGCATGGGCACCCCCCAGCCACGCTGCCACCGCAGGGACAGGGACCTCCGCTGTGGCCCAGCCTGGCATTGCTGTGCAATCGAGAGCATCAGAGAAGGCAGAAAGGCAGGCCAAATAGTGGCCTCAGTGATAAAAGCTTCACCTCACCTGGGCATTCCTATTTAAGGTCAGATGCAGAAAACACTTAAAGGCAGGCTAGGGAATCGTCAAAAAAGGCTTCACATGCGCGCTTCAACTATGGGTCTGCTAAATTTGCAGTCTCTCTGCCCATGGACAGTAAGGGACTGCATCTGGAGGCGCATATTCCCCGTGCTCCTATTCTCTGCACACAAACATGGGGAAGACAGCATGCGATGCTCTGTGAAATGGCAGCAAAGCTCCCCCCCCATCTGGGATGGGACTGCGACTCCACTCACAAAGCTGGTAAGAATCCAGAGGAAAACTACTGGTGCCACTTGACACTAACTGGATTCATTTAAATGGGCAAAAAGAAAGTTACAGCCACAAGAGTGAAGTATCGAATGGAGTGGGAGAGAAGACAGCTAGATCATGATTTTGATTCATGTGTAGTTCATTCCTTTAGCTCAAACAATCCCTTTTGAAAGCTCAAGGCCGCACAAGGTACGTGGGATAGCAGAGAACACCGCCGAGCTGAGCGTGCACAGGCCTGGACTGTCTTCAGAGACCAGCATTAACAATAACCACACTGCTTAATATACAGATTACTTCTGTATATGGCTCAAAATACATCAGTATGATATAACCGA